TTCTGCAATGGGTCTAAAAACTTTGATTTGTGAGTCGTTTTACGTCACTCAGACACGCAAACGAAAACCAGACCGTCACACGAGCAGTGTTTTTTTCTTTGAAAACGAAAACAATGAGCCGCGGAGACTTAAGACATGTAAAAGACAAGTATAGTACTTCTACTTGAAAGCAGCAGAGCAGCAACGTTCGACCTTGAAATCGATCCCTAGAGCCAACGGTAGCTACTTCAACACTATTAAGAGATTTAATACACCAAACCAAACCTACGTCCTGAGCCTATAAATGATATGGCCAACGTAGCCTCGATAGTCTAAAGAAAACGTTATAATCATAGTCTTAACAGTATACAAAGTCAACAATACATGACATTAAAGCCCATGTTTTCTCCTGTAACCTGTATTTCACCGAAACGAAAATATATCTATACATCAGGCAGTGAGATATGTTGGGAAACGTCTTTTTCTGACGTTTTCTTTCTAATATAGTGCATACACATATGTCATCATAGCTTGCAAAAGCCATCCCTGGCCACATATAATTTTCATCATTTCATCAAATCTATCTCCGAAAGATCGATAGATAACAGTCATAAACGAAAGAGCCAAACACATTTCAGGCCAATACCTTTCTGCACTATAAGAAAGCAAAATTGATAATCCAAAACGTATGTAGATTCAAAAGGAAAAAGGCAAATCATAATACAGTATTTAGGGGAGAAAAAAGTTTTCAGATTCCTGTTTATAGCTGTTTTGATAATTCATGTGAATTGCTTACTTTAAGTGCATGTGATTTGATGTCTCAGGTAAACAAGCACATGTATATGTCGCTTACTGCTATACCTATAACTCGAATGTCGATGTGGTTGGTCCAGCCTTAGTTAACGGTACGAGAGTTGTTTGATAGTTGAGCAGTCAATATATAATTTATTTCTAGTTAGGGTAGGCTGCAGATAAAGGGACCAACCTTTTAACTTGATATAAAAATACCGCTATAATTGGATAATGGATGATTACTCCAATATCAGTTTGATTAGTTTGTTTCTTATTATGTAGCATGTGTTTCTGTTTAGCAATGGTATATTCAGCGTGCTTCTAACATCATCAAGCGAAAGACACTATACTTGACGAATGATATAGCATGGCTGATGCTTAGTAGAAAATATCTATAAGTGTTAGCGACAAGGAACTACCCTCACTGGAGCAGTCAGTTCTCTACTTCTACATGTGTGTTTTTTAACACCCATAGAATTTGATCAATGGATACGTTAGATGTAGCAGATGTATGAATACACTGTTTAGGTTTTATTGAACGCAAAGTGTCTTAAGGAATAGGCTAGGGGCCATGCGGTTGCAGTTTTATTTAGAAAGCCAGTCTTTATTGAACCCATATAGATTTCCATAAAATTACATAGACAAAAATTACCTTTTACTAACTATTGCAGGAATGATAACCTGTCATACAGACCCTGAAACAAATATATCTAAGAAAGCCCATGCATCCTAGAATATATGGCAAGTCTAAATTTCCACAGTTCTGCAACTGAAGGTTTTTTTCTGTAAAATATGTTCATTTTAGAGACTAGATGTTAGCCTACTGGAATGAGTGATGGTGAAATTGAAGTGATGGTGAAACAGTTCTTTAAAGTTTTTACTGCATAAAACAAATTCAGTATACTTTCTGTTGCCCTCTGTTGCCCTCAGTTGCATATTGCAAATGGGAACTGTCAACTGATGGCGTAATAGTATATAAACGTATTCATAAGGTTTAACAGTGAAAGTCGTTACTCTGTACATGGGTTGGAAGTTTCTGAAGGAGTTATTCAGTTGGCAAATTACATATAGCTTATGGGAACATTTATTTTACGCCCGTATGCACATCGCGTAATGTGTTTCCTAGCGGTTGATGTATACTGCAAGATGCAAGGAAGTGTTGCAAAATATCAGCATTTTAAAATGGACTGTCAGTTAAATACGCCAGGTCCTTGAGAATCTTAAATGAAAGTAGACCAGAAAGAACCGTGACATAAATTCCGCAACACACAAAAGTTTAACCATCATATTCTCTCTTCTGTCAACATATTTCATCGCAGTATGGGTTTTCGGACCCGTATGAACATGCCGATGTGAACCATGTAACTAACCTAGTAGTGAAAACGTTGTCTTAAACACAAGCCATCATCCGAGTATTTACAATGCCAAGGTGACTCAACCCATCTCGTTATAGCGAGAACAAACCCTGAAAAAGTTCGACGTCCGAAAATATACTGAGCGAAACACATAAAGGATCACAGGAAAATTCAAGTGTTCCTTTGTTGCTTTCCAGTTTTCATCACCACAGCGCTATTCAAATCTGGTGATGAAAGCTGGAAAATAATAAAGGAACACTTTAATTTTCCTGCAATCCTTTATTTGTGTCTTTAGGTATACAATGTATATAATCCAGCTATTTATGTAATGCTACGGCAGGAAAACCCTAACCGAGGTAATATACTTAGTACCCATAGAGTACTAACATCGATTCAATACAAGCATGAGAGTATGATACTTCTCGGATTTAGATACTACCATTTCTTTGACACAGCTATCTGTATCTGCATCGAACAGTCATTATACTGAAGAAATAGGGACGGGCGGACTATTTTAATTATCAAAATGCTTCAGACTGTTGAGAAAGATATGTAGTCTCCAGACACAACCACAGCACTGACACACCAGTTATCAAATGGTCGGTCCACAAAGTCCTCCTTTCTTGTCAATGTTATATTTGAATATGATAATCCATTCTTAAAGCATTTTAATGGTTGTATATTGTACCACAGGATTTAAAAACAACTATGCAGATGTACTTTGAGAAATATGTTCCGGCATTTCACCTGAAAACTTCACATAGAGTTTAACACACCCTGATTATGTCCCGACCAAACAGCCTGTCTTCATCTCAACACGAGCTACATATGATAGATACTGTCCTTGCATCCACATCAAACAGTGTTGATGGGACATGTGTACTCGGTTACAGAAAAAATCCTCATAATAAACAGCAAAATCTTGTGTTTGATAGGTGCTAACGCAAAATCTATGGTGTGAGGATGTGTGGTAGATATGTGCTAACATAATACACATTGACGTGTCTATGGTGTGAGGATGTGTGGTAGATATGCCCTAACATAATACACATTGGCGTGTCTATGGTGTGAGGATGTGTGGTAGATATGTGCTAACATAATACACGTTGACGTGTCTATGGTATGAGGATGTGTGATAGATATGTGCTAACATAATACACATTGACGTGTCTATGGTGTGAGGATGAGTGATAGATATGTGCTAACATAATACACATTGACGTGCCTATGGTGTGAGGATGTGTGATAGAAGTTAGACGGAGGTAACAGAATCTGGCTTATATGTGATAAAAGTCGAAATAACATAAACATATATAATATGAACATGGTCGAACAATTCAATAACGATAATACCACATTCAAGTAAATAGCAGACATATACGGTTTATTTCATTATGCAAACATATATATATGCATGTATATATCAATAATGAAACTATATATATATAGATCAATAAAACAGAAAACATGTTTCGTTCTTTACTCTTCAGGGTGATTGTAGCAGTTACAGTTATATATGTATATATCAATAATGAAACTATATATATATTTATATATATTCTTCAATATATATATATCATCACATATATATGTATGTTTATATCAATAATGAAACTATATATATATTTATATATATATATTTATATCATCACATATATATGTATGTTTATATCAATAATACTATGTATATTCTTCAATATATATATATATAATACATATAATATATATCAATAATGAATATATATATATATATATATATATATATATATATCTTATATATATATATATATTCTTCAATATATATACTGTTAAAAGATGGTTCATAGGTGATCCCGTGTACATATTAAATAAGTACATATTAAATAAACCGTTTTAGTCTGGAGCTATGTACTTGAATATGAAGTTTTCGTTATTGAGCTCTTCGCTTATATGCGATGAAATATACAATTCGGACGGTGGTATGTTTTTAACTGAATATAGTTCAGTTGTGCATGATTCTGAATGCTGTTTCTTTCAGTGACGCATATCGATGTTGAAGTCCTGAAGCCGCGCCTATATCAGTCATATGGATATGACGACACATACGTCGCCGAGAAGACATTTACAGTGTGTCTCTCTACGTGCGTCTGTGATAGCATCTGAAGGCTCTTAACGTTAAGTGTGGTCACCCACAGGGGTCATGATGATAAGGGATAGGTATTGTCCAAACAAAATACTTCATGAATATTATAAATATATGATGAGGCACTGAAAGGTATACGGTCACACTTATCTGACTACAACAACCTTAAGCACACGTTTTATGCTTTATCTACAGTTTACTACTTCCACTGAATGTATTAATCAATCTATCTTAACTTTTGCTTTCAAAGGAGTCATATACGTTTTATGCATGCGGAATTATCAATGGAATTTTACAAGTTTACAATATTTTTACAAATTATTCAAAACCACATCAAATGTATTAACTCGGTTTTGAATATATATCTTGTTTAATTTCTCCTTTTGGAACCAACTACTGTTGATGAAAGGTATCATCAAATTTATGACTACATATACAGCTGCAAGTATAAAGTTTTGTTTTTGCATCACTGGAATTTATGAACTTTCATGAACGAAGTTCGTTTTACATACTGTGTAAACAGCATTCAACAACAAGACTGGTTCAGTTGATATGGCTTTTAACAAATTATTCAAAACATATATATTTACAGTAATGTCATTTTTGCATGAGGAATACTTCGATTTGAGAACAAATACCAACTGCATACACTAGAACTTTCATATAAAAGAATAATGCACTTTTAGAAGATAAAATGTCTATTGTACAGTATTACCATTGTCAAAACAAGGGGTTCACTGAAAAATACTTACATAAGCAGTATTGTAGGCAGTTCCATAAAATGTGAAAGGCGGCTGAAGACTGAGGGAGGGGCTGGAACCGTCATCCGTTTCCGGGGTGGGTGTGTGACCATCGAAGGGAAGCAGCGAACACCTGATTGACCACATGCATGTGGCTAGAAGCAAGACGGACCAGAGGACTTGGCAACAGGTCATTTTCAGTTCAATGCAATGAGGACTCTCTGTAATAACAATCACTGCATGTACTACTACATCGTACATGAACATCATGTTCCATATTCCAGGTAAAGGAAAATTATACCGTTAAATTATGATGATATCTAAACGTTTCAGTCAAATAGAAACTATCGTGTATAAGCAAAGTTAAATGACCATTTGCCAAGTATATTCACGTTTAGATATTTACCTTATTAGTATTTATAAATAAGCCCAATTTAATTTCAAAATATTTCTCACAAGGAGATGTGGCTTTGAACAAGATGGTATTCCTCAGTAATAACACAGTAACTTAAAATAATAGCTCCTTAATGGCCCGCATGGATAATTAAACGATAACTCCCTTACCTATGACGCTTCTCGTGACAAGGTGTTCAAACTCTATCCCCTGGTCACACGGTTACGACTGATTCCCACGAGAAAGGTAATCGATGCGTGTTTTACTCTTCATATTTATCTCATTCACGAAATGCAGGTAGTTCCTTTCTGAAATCCATACTGATTCAAGAACAAGGCACTGGTACATCAAAGACACAGGTGAGACAGAATACCTACAGATGCCATGAAGATACCTACTTGACTCCCGAAACAGTATCGACAGAGTGGGTTGTGCCACTTGTTCGTGGGTCAGCCCACTGCAGTGAGTCATCCTCCCTATGGCTGACGCTGATGGCGGTTCCCTCCCCGAAAACTCTGACCCGTCATGGAGCGGGTGTCTGAAGCAGGGTATTGTGTGATTGATGGGCCACAGTGATTTGGTTATTGCGCGACCCACATGCTGATCTTAAACCCTCCAGATCGTACCTGGTGATTACACTATACAACCCGAAAAAGCTCATCTTTCATACAAAGGTGTCATTGGAGCCACACAAGCGTATAACGTGCTTGTCTGAAACATAATGCATTTTCAACTTGAGTTATGAGTTATGTTTTGGCGGAGATATTTGCTTTCTCGCATTATCGTAAAGGATATATTCCACTATTCAGATAATGTTTATCTAAACATCTCTTAATATGTTTAAAGTAGCGAATAAAGATCCACACGCCGTCTATTTATATATGAAACTGGGCTTAGCAGTGGCGACACTGCACGAAGCGAACAAGCAATAAGATTTATGTTCATCGTTTAACGCCTGAAGAGTTAGTAACTAAAACGGGAAGAGATAGTAATTAAAATGCAACATGGTATGCCCCAAAAGATATGGTGTCACATTCACTGGAGATGACGACTTTCCAAATGTACCTAACTCTTGGGTGTTCCCAACTTAAGCAGCAGTATATAGCCTAGTTAGTCTACAGATATTTATACGTTGTCTGACAAAGCTGTCGTAGACATCGCCCACGTATATGGTTTATGCTAAGTCTGAAGCCTTGTTAAATATCCTGCCAAATATTTCAGGCAACATTTTAGTCAAGAACACTACACAGGGTTTGGTTTCAAGCATCATGTTTGTCATATAAAATATGCAGGTATACGTTTCAGACAGCATCATAGTCATGTAAATTCTACAGGTTTAGTTTCAGGCATCATGTAAGTCATGTAAAATGAGCAGGTATTTATTTCACACAACATGTTTATCATGTAAAGTGTGCTAGGTATATGTTTCAGACAACATGTTCGTCATGTAAATATGCAGGTTTAGTTTCAAGCATCACGTTTGTCATGTAAAATATGCAGGTATTTATTTCACACAACATGTTTATCATATAAAGTGTACTAGGTATATGTTTCAGACAACATGTTCGTCATGTAAATATTCAGGTTTAGTTTCAGGCATCACGTTTGTCATGTAAAATGAGCAGGTATTTATTTCACACAACATGTTTATCATGTAAAGTGTACTAGGTATATGTTTCAGACAACATGTTCGTCATGTAAATATGCAGGTTTAGTTTCAAGCATCACGTTTGTCATGTAAAATGTGCAGGTATTTATTTCACACAACATGGTTATTATGTAAAGTGTGCTAGGTATATGTTTCAGACAACATGTTCGTCATGTAAATATTCAGGTTTAGTTTCAGGTATCATGTTTGTCATGTAAAATATGCAGGTATTTATTTCACTCAACATGTTTATCATGTAAAAGTGTGCTAGGTATATGTTTCAGACAAAATGTTCGTCATGAAAAATATGCAGGTTTAGTTTCAAGCATCACGTTTGTCATGTAAAATGAGCAGGTATTTATTTCACACAACATAGTTATCATGTAAAGTGTGCTAGGTATATGTTTCAGACAACATGTTTGTCATGTAAATATGCAGGTTTAGTTTCAAGCATCACGTTTGTCATGTAAAATATGCAGGTATTTATTTCACACAACATGTTTATCATGTAAAGTGTACTAGGTATATGTTTCAGACAACATGTTCGTCATGTAAATATTCAGGTTTAGTTTCAAGCATCACGTTTGTAATGTAAAATGAGCAGGTATTTATTTCACACAACATGTTTATCATGTAAAGTGTACTAGGTATATGTTTCAGACAAAATGTTCGTCATGTAAATATTCAGGTTTAGTTTCAAGCATCACGTTTGTCATGTAAAATATGCAGGTATTTATTTCAGGCATCATGTTCGTTATGTGAAATATGCAGGCATGTGTTTCAGGCAACACGTTTACACACAATATCGAGGTAAATCAGATGATTGATGGGCATCATAATGAGATGTAAATGTTTCAGTCTAAAAGTGAAGTCTGGCACAATATCTAGTTATGTGCTGCAGTCAACATTTTCAGTAATGTACAATATTCAGTTATGTCTTCTTTGGCAAAATGTCAAATCATATACACCATCCAGTTATATGCACCGGTAATTCTGAATTACCTATGTACAAATCAGTATTTCACTACACTGCTTTAACTAAAAACAGGATGGCGCGGATAAATGTAACGAAGTTTTGACTGCCCAGTGACTCAGCCAACCACTCCTAGTTTACGAAATTAGAAGCATGGGTGTGAAGCCATCACGACCTAAGATACACAAAGCTATCACGCAATGGATTCACCAGATGATTACTCTCGAGTGACGTGTTATATATTATACCATATATTAAAAGCCATCCTATTTTTGTCACGTGTGCATGGATATTTGTGGATCAAAAAGAAGAATATCACGTAACCCGTTTATACTCTCTGTATCAGGTATCACATATCACACAGAATGGTTTCGCCTATGTAATCGACACTCCAGTTTCTTCTCACAAAGACACCCTCTTGCCTTATCAGTTTGGCTTGTATAAAACCAACACCATGGCTTAGTTTAAATTACCATTTTTCAAGTTTAAGTAGCGTAACCCTAACATCATAGTGGGAATGTTTGGTAATGTGAGTTCGAAACATGTGTTTTCAGATAATAAATGATTCTCATTAACCGTGAGAAGCATTACTTCTTAACGACTTAAGTAAGACAGTTGAGGCCGACAAAGGTGTATGTCATAAAACGTGTATGTGTATATCAAAGATCTCCGTAACAGCAACACCCCAAACAGCCGTGTCGAGGATATCTGCTGTCAAAACATGAAATAACACCGGGACAGACCGGAAACGTTCCAAAACATTGCAGAGGACGTGTATATTTAGATATTGGACGATTCATGTAACCGTCGCCACGGACTAATGACGGTATCGCAATATCAGTCTCTGTACTACAATTGTTGTGACGTTTTAATGCAACATCGCTACAAATAGATTGAAATATACACCGTTGCTACAGTCGCTATACAGATGCTACCTTGCATCATAAAACAGCTCTGGGATCATCTTCGCGAGAGCATTTCACAATATTTAATTAGAATTACCATGATTGTATTCGGGGGATTATACTTTTGTTACCTGGCAAAACGTCAATGCTAATGTTATATCCCCGAAACATGTATCTTTATTCAGCATTCGTATACAAACAAGTTACAGGCTGTGTAAAATATATTCAAATTCATGTGCCAGTCAGCCATTGATCAATTCTGAGCTCTGAGTCTCTCCAAGGACTGGCTTTCAAGAACATACGCAGGTCCACATCTACTGCTAAATATTCTTGAACTCAACTCACAACGTTTCAAATTACCTGAAGCTTTTTAGCGTACTTTGAGAAGAACAAAGTTCTTTTGATAAGTAAACGGTTCATTGTTTTGTGGATTTGAAGAATCAATTCTGCTGTATCATGTAACGCTCCACGTGATTCTGTACGACATCCTACATTTAATGAAATAGTATGTGCACTTGATGAATTTTTCTTCAAAATCGGGAACTGAAGAGTTTTAATGTTTTGTGGCCAAACAAACTGCAGGTCAGGAAAAAGCATGCATGTGATGTTCCCTTTGAGGTCAGTCAGGCGTGACTCGACCTGCTGTAAGATACATTTATATGACAAACTTAATATGATGTAAGATATTTGTATCAAATACAAGACCATGGAAAACTTATACTTGTTCCAGCCACCGTCAAACACACGTGTATACATAATAATAGGATATAATGTCAATTCACACATATTAGATTTTATTGTTATAAGGTGAAGGTGTTTTATGTAATTCTAAAATTATGCAAATAAAAAGTATAATCTGCTAAACTCCAAACTTTGTTTAACTTTTTTTGGTGAAGGGTTATTTATTAAACATTATGGTTGTCTGAAATTGGATTTACAAAGCTCATAAAAGGTTTGTTGAGGGTTTGTTAGTAAAATTATATGCGGTTGAGGTGCATCTGAATTATGCCCCTTTGTGAGGTGGCTCACTGTTGTTTGCAGGTGCCAAACAGGGTAGAAATTATAAACTCCATTCCATAGATGGGTAGGGTTTATTTTCCTTCCGTACACTGTTTATTTTCCTTCAGTACACTGTTTATTCTCCTTCCGTACACTGTTTATTTTCCTTCAGTACACTGTTTATTTTCCTCAGTACACTGTTTATTTTCCTCAGTACATTGTGTGAATTTTGTGACTGGTGTGTGTATTTGTGTAACATGACTATATGTTAATTTAATTAATGCAACATGTAAAATATTGACACATATTTGTAACATGGAACATTCTCCTAGAATGATTGATTTTGCTGTCCATTTAATAATTGGTCAAATGTTTCAGGGTGATATATTTGTGAAATCTTGTGGATTGTGAACCGCTGACTACCCTAAGAAATAAAATGTCCTCACCCCTACCAGCAGTGTCGTATCCTGAAGAGCTGGTTTATGACGGGAGCCACCGGTGGGGCAGGATACTGTTACCTATTCGCGAAAACCTGATGTCACCACTATTACATAGTGATTCATCTACACAAGCTCTGTCATCGTGTCTTATCGTGACAATCACTGGATTGTCTGGCCCAGACTCGATTGTTTACAAACATCATCGTACAGCTGTAATACAGCTGAAACAAATATAAATTCATGATACAGTCGCGTTTGTACAATCGACTCTGATTTTAGCAGAGATTTCTTGTGGATGTGGAAAGGTTTTGACTCTTATATTTCATTTTATTATAATACCAGTAATCGCTGGATCTACATGAGCGACATTTGTTTAACTGTCGTGCACTCAAATAATACACAAACTATCAAGGTGTCCGTATTTACTCGTATCTCTGTTACTTAAAAATTAAAATATAGAATGTATAATGCGAGAAATATAGTTATAAAAAAACATGTTCAAGCCT